GTAGATAAAATTAGAGACCATCCTGTTCTGTATTGTTTCGAAATAGTTGGAAATGTCGTCTTGAATTTGTGCTGTCGTCGATACATATACAGTTTAACCCAATGCCCGCTTCACGATATTCTGTATAATACAGAGTAAATGATTATCTTTATTAAACTAAAGCTGCCACCTTTGCAAACTTAAAGCATTGCAAGCCGTCCGCAATGTGATGTAGCGAAAACGCTGCGACCAGGTACATATAGACTGCAATTTGTCGTAGAAAAACAACAATGTGGGTAAAATGTCATGATTTCATTGGGCAAATGTGACGTGACTTTCGTCGCATATCCTTTTACTTCGAATATCCCGTTGAGTCTGATGGGTCTGGGCAATCTGCGTTCGCGCCTAAATGACTGGCGAAGCGCGCCACTACGTCGCCCGTACGCTCACCAATTTTTCGGCCAGTTCTAGACTAGCAAGAGTAGAAAAAGAACTAGGCAAGAACTGGCCGAAAAATTGGTGAGTGTACGGGCTGCATTATCTACGCCGAGTTACTCGCTATCCTGGCTGTCCACTCAATCCTCATTCGCGTCGCTGCCGCCGTCGTCGCTGTCGCTCGAAACCTCGAAGTGCTTTCGCTTGCGGAAGCGAATACGATTCTTGAGGTGAGCAGGGATGGCAGTGCCGTTGCGCCACAATTCGTGCGATATTTGGCCGCATGTGAGCGTGTTGCCGGTTTCCTTGTGGCGAACCTTGTTACATAGAGGCACGTAGCCACCGAAGTTTGATGTGCACTGCTCGCAGTAGTAACTGGTTTCGAAGCTCTTTGTCTGGGGAGTTGCCAAGGCTGAGCAAACTTTGCACAAGTGCTGGCGGCGCTTGCCCTTACGCTTCTTCCCTTTACGCTGGAGGTTACTGGCGGTTGATCCATCTCTGGTTTTCTTTCGCTTCTTGCCTTTGTATTTTCCCTCATTGTTTCGCAGTCTGTGCGGTTGCGTGTGAATAGGCTAAGAAACGAGGTCCTCGGCGTTGGTGTTTGCACGCAGTGTGGCTTCGTTCGTGGCAACAGCTTGGTATGAAGTCGGCGCATATACTGCGCGTGTGTTGGCACTGGCAGCTTTTTTTGCTTGAGAATAATTTTATGTAAATAATACCGTTGACTATCGCCATTTCCACAACACCCATGAAGAGCTGCCGATAGTACTTTTTGAAGGCCACAGTAAGCTGGATTGAATAGCGCTGTAGGCGGAGTTGATCGTGGCGATCTACTCCGCCCATACCTTGTTGGTAATCAACCACAAGCTGCGGGCACGGTACCGCAACACGCTCTGTCTTTCCCTATGCTCTACGCATTACAGTCGTTGGAACTGTAGAGCATCCCGTCGCGAGTAGCGCGACAGGCTTGCTGTCCATCCAGCTCAGTGCAACGAGGCCAGGGTGATCACGCGCGTGCGCAATTCGATACAAGCCTCGGGGCATAGTCTTCGGTCTTTTCTTTTGCGTAAAAGCAAACGACTTGGGCCACCCAAGCCGCTCGTTGCGGTGGGTACCGACGTCGTAGAGATCCTTGTCCAATAACTCCAGCAATAGAGCACACGACGTGTAGAAATTGTCGGCGATGATAAGCCTTTTATGGGCCTGGCCATCAAGCGCCTTAGTCACGTTCCTGATGACTGCCTTCTGTGCCACACCTTTCGAGTTTTCTACAGCGCCGAGATACACTTCCATCCTCAATGTTACACAATACAGCATACGGTTAGCACTCAGTTTCTTATTCTGTACTATACAGAGTAACCAGATATAGAGTAAACCACCTGCCTAGTACAGTATCCGGTCTCCGCGCAGCACGTCATATACACTTTAGTCCCGTACTTGTGAGGCCCTGAAGAATGGGCCGAACTTTCCAAGCTTGTCTGTGGCTGCGGCAGCAGGGTCGTTTTTGGTGAAGTGCAAGTACTGGGTAACTAACCGAAATCTTTCACGTTTCATGTATCTGGAAAAGGTACTGCACCGTCCTCCCGCGTCGACCAGTGCTTTTCCAAGCCACCCGTATGACCACAGAGTGTGCGAGCAATGAGAAGGCCAATCACGTAAAGAATTCATGTGCTTGAATTGGCTTCACCTTGCGCAGCTTCTGTTCTAAGACTTCAAGAGGTTGGGCCGACTTCACAGGATCCCTGAGCTGAGCCTGTAGCTGCTTGTCTCGTTGCGCCTTCGCCACAGCAGGAATGCCCTCCACTCGATACGCGTTAGACTCCTTTGCAATCGCACCCCACATCTTCTTGGGAAGAAAATAGAAGAAAATTCCCAAAGGAGACTCGGCGAACGCAGCGGCAGATCTGGTGGGACCAAAAACATCCGTCGTATAACTCCACTGCATCTAACACCACATCACCTGTATTCAGTAAAATACAGAATTAGATTTTGATATGATCCGCAATTCTGTATGCGCTGCACTTACCGGAATGATGCTCATCGTAGATATCCCAACCCGTGGCTGTGAGTTGACGCATATCGGTGTCGTCTTGCAGGAACGCGCTGGAGTCGTCATCAAAGTCGCTGTCAGAATCTACCTCGCTTTCATACACTGATCCAGGCTCCGCAGGAACGTCCAATTCTTCTTCAGTACCCAACTCGCTTTTAACATCACTTGCGGATCCATACCCAACGTTAATATCTTCAGGGTCAATCTTATCAAAGAACAGCTCTCCACGTAACGCATCCATATAGCTAACACAATCAAATTCATCCAAGCCATTCGCAACACCACTGTCACGTTTCGATTTTTCTTTGCCGTGACCCAGGCTTGCCGTGTCGTCAAATTCGGTATCCGACAGAATATGAACACCCGCTAGTCCAGCTTGTTCTGTATCCTCCGGAATACATTCAACAACTGATTGCCCTTGATCTGTACCAGTGGTACCAGTATTTTGACAAAGCCGCCTTCTTCTGTATCATCGACGATCGACCTCGCTTGTTCCGTATCCTCTGCAATATCATCACCAATCAGTCGGACTTGTTCTGTATCCTCCGTAGTAACGTCGACAGTATGTTGATGCTCTGAGCGGGATGGAGAATACGGACGGTCCAAGTTGCTGTCATTTGTGGTGGGGGGAATTGGTTCTTGTCGTTTGGCTGCTGTGTACGCTGCAAGCTTCCCCATTGGAGGCTCATCCGGCGTATCATACATTGTTGAGGGGGGAAAGGTACTAGACCCTCACGCAGAGCATACTTCCACAAAGGCTTGGGCCCTACACCACACAGGGTTAGAGGGAGTAGTTAGTACTGCTAAACACAACGTACCGATAAAGTAATCAGTGTCAGCCTTGTACTTGTCTAGCTTTCCTTTCACGCCAGGCTTGAGCTACGCATGATCGGAGAGGAGGCCTGAAGGGGGCCTTGCCCACCAACCAGCCTTCTTTAGCGACCCCCACAGACGCTTGAACTCCTTCCTGTCAATCGTGCCCGGCATTTCTGGCACATCGCAGTGGTGAATACAAAGGCGCTCGAGATTGCAGGAGTGGACGTGAACGCTAAGAATCATGACGTAAAACATGGGGCGATCGATG